GACTAAAAATTGATTAAGGTACATATATATAGATACATCAGAATAGACATGTGTCAATCGTGAATGATTCGGTCATTTGACTTGGGTCGCATCAAAGTATTGATGATTGCAATTACATTTTTTAACGTTCAAGATCAAACGATTGATTAGAACCACGACCAGAGTATAGTAATATCCGGCGACCGACATTATCAAGCGGGTCTCACTAATCATAGAGAACACAAATGATCAGACCGAAACTCGAAATGATCCATTTGTTTGATCGGTCCGAATGACACGGTTCGTAAGATGAATCAATACTTGAACCACCAGAAATGTTACTGTAAACATAATTGCAAGATAACGATTTATGATGTTTACGCGAATACCATTCATCAAATAAAACTAATTTTAGAAACGTTTATCACAGCTTAATGCTGCTGTGTATAATATGGTGAGTGTAGAGAACTGAAGACTTTACTGGAAACGAGGCATTCCAGGGATAACAACGCATTTGCATTTTAATTCATAATCGAGAATAGAAATGTAGATGTCTATGGACCACGGCATCCACATACTATCAGGTGGACTGTGTGTTTGTTTGTCACCTTATTCTATAAAAAATTGTAAATAGTTTCTCTATTCCCAGAGTCGAGACTTTATGATTTTTGCCTCCTTTCCATACCAATACACAAATGCCATAAATTAACAAAAATAATACGATTTTTTAATAATAGGTATATTTAACGGTGTTAGTTTAAGGGAGCGTCCATTAATTACGTGAGGTGTTTAAGGGGGAGGGGATAGAACCAAATCCCTCCCAATCTCACAAGTTTTTACATGGTAGAGCCATGCTGCAGCTATATTGTGGTTGCAGCACGAATGAGTCAGCTCGACCGGGGATAGACCATGCTCTCACAGAATACCAGCGTGAAATAGCAGCTTAGTGCTGCTGTGTTTCGTATGGTGAGTGTAGAGAACCGGAGACCCTTTTTACTGGAAACGAGGCATTTCGTCTCAGTCCTCAGGGCTGGCCACGCATCTGCATTTAGGTTCTTAATCGAAGATAAATGTAGATGTCTATGGGCCACTGCATCCACTTACCATCAGGATGACTGTGTGCTCGTTTGTCACGCTTATTTTATTTTAAATAAAATGTGGAAGAACAAGGGTCTTGGCAAATATATATAACGTAATTATAACGTAATTTTTTTTCCGCAACAAACAATGTAATGTCGCGGTTTTGCGAAATCCACAAATCGCAATCAAGTACAGATAACGTATTTACACTATAAATAGGCATTTAGAAAAATCTCACGAGAGATATGGGGGGGGGAGCTAAGGAGGTCGAACCTCACCAAGGTGAGGGGGGAGGATAAAAAATCACCAAAATCGAATCACGAAATTAATGGATGCCCCCTAAGCAATTAGATAAGTGCCTACTTTGACCTAAATAATCAACTAACTCAAATTCATAAATTATAAAACAAAAACGAATGAAAAGGTAAGTCTCAGTAAGTCAGATAGTTAATTTTCCAGTGGACAATAATATTTTCCCATACATCAGTTTACATCACGGTCTATGTTGCAAAATATAAATAACCAAATACTATTTTATGTGACATTGAATTAAAGCAGTAAATTAAAGATTTTCGGATAATTTTTTTCAATTCTGTTGAGACTAAATTTGATAATGTATAATATATATAATTTGTCCATTACTGAAAAAAAAAAAAAAAAAAAAAAAAAAAGGTAAGTCTCAGTAAGTCAGATAGTTAATTTTCCAGTGGACAATAATATTTTCCCATACATCAGTTTACATCACGGTCTATGTTGCAAATTATAAATAACCAAATACTATTTTATGTGACATTGAATTAAAGCAGTAAATTAAAGATTTTCGGATAATTTTTTTTCAATTCTGTTGAGACTAAATTTGATAATGTATAATATATATAATTTGTCCATTACTGAAAAAAAAAAAAAAAAAAAAAAGGTAAGTCTCAGTAAGTCAGATAGTTAATTTTCCAGTGGACAATAATATTTTCCCATACATCAGTTTACATCACGGTCTATGTTGCAAAATATAAATAACCAAATACTATTTTATGTGACATTGAATTAAAGCAGTAAATTAAAGATTTTCGGATAATTTTTTTCAATTCTGTTGAGACTAAATTTGATAATGTATAATATATATAATTTGTCCATTACTGAAACTGAAACTTAGCAAATCTAACTGTAAAAAAATCAGTTATTTTTATAATTTAATTTCTTCCTTTTCCATCTGGCAAAAGATCTGCCAAAAAAGAAACTAACTTTTTAAAGTAGTATATTAGTAAGTAAATTAAAGTTCAGATTTGATCTTAGATTGTTTACTTTTGATTTACTACTAAATATTGCAACACATTAGAACATACAATTATACACTTTAAATCTCGTTGTAATATTGCAGATTTTAATTTGAGTGTTGACAGACAGTCTTACTGGTTGTTGGTTCCTCTAGCTATATGTCCGACCCAATACCACTTCAGCTTACTAATCCATAGGGCTGTGGCAGTTACTCTGGTTCTGTTGTGGATATCCTCATATTTAAGTACATTATGCAGAGATACCATGAGCATAGCCATCTCCTACTATTTGAACTAAATCACTATTCTATTCTATTACTATTTTAACCAAATCACTCAGTCAATAAACATAGATGTAGGGTGTAATTTGACTTTAATATCAACTTCCCATTTAAGGAGGTAGTATATAAAATCATACATTGGTGGGTGTGTGACTGCCTCGTTGATCCAGTAGTTGTAAACGCGACTACTGATGACGAGGTCCTGAGTTCTAATCCCGGGTCGGGCAAAAATATTATTGAGTTTTTCTTTCAAGAAATTCTCAGTAGCTACCCGGAGTCAGGAAGTTGGCTGTGTCCCACTTTCATGCCTCGGAAAGCACGTAAAACCGTTGGTTCTGATCACTTTCCATCAGACTATGAGAGTAAGGGAATAAAGAATGCACCTATGCTTGTACATACATTCGGGCACTATAATCATATCCTGCGCCGATGACAAGGCTATGTTGAGACTGGCCGCCATAACCGAAATTCGGTCAGAAGGACGTTATTATTGTTACATCACCCACACTTTATATTTAGGAGACTGTCTGGATAGATATCACTCTCTGTCTGATTTCTGACACAAAATAGCAATTGTTGCAAAGCAAATAAAACTACAGGCTGTGAAGCATTCCATATTAGCCCTTAGAAATGACAATGCATATTGAGCCTTCTTTGTTTGACGTTGGCTGCGTGTCCATAGACTTAAGTAGCCACTAAGCATCAGGTGCACTCCCTTAGGTTTACAAAAAACATTCTGTAGTTAAGCACTAAATAAAATTGATATAAAGTCATTACTATTATCATAGACTAGAGTAAAATGAACCATTAACTATTTGATATTCAGATACAATATTTATATTTCTTTGAAAAACTCTGCCAGCAATTTCATTATAATATAGAAAAACTTTACCATCACATGCAATCTAAGTAACAATAAGACATTAAAATAAATTATACTATTTTTTAATTTTTTCAAGTAATTAAAGTGTTATAATGTTGAATTATAATGTTGAGTAGATTTTACATTGAATAAGTAATGCAAGGCTTCCAACGGCTGAAACCCCACAGTGGTCACTATCAGTGTATATGAAGTCTCAGGATCTTTGTACAGAATGAAACCAGGACCTTTCTCTCACTTTGCTACACTGTAAGCATGTGCTGGGACAGTACTTACTGGCCTTAGCAACATTTCACTTTCAGTGCTATATTAATGACTTTTTTTGAGATGGATTTTGATTTCAGATGAGCACCAGTATTTTTCTGATAATTGATAACTTGATTATAAAAAAAAACTATAGTTGCTCAAACTTCCTGCCAAGCATAGAAACTATGGCAAATATGGGGGATATTTGTGTTTTTTATGAGGCAATATATAGGGGAGACCAATGTTCTACACTGGACTTATGATAAGGATGATGCTATAATTTGTCAAGCAATTATATTAAAAGCTTAATGGCGAAGTGTAGAGCGTCCCTTCACTAGATAGAGTGACGAGCTGGCAAAACATGCAGGAATTTGATAGATGCAGGTTTCTCAGTACTTTGTGGCATCACTTGGGGGAGGCTTACATACAGCAGTGGACTTGTGAAGGGCTGTAATAAAATATTTTAGAAAATAGTAATAATATTATTTATTATCTTTCTTTTGTAAATTGCTTTGTGTCTTTGTAAACTTTGCTTAATAATGTAAGGAATGGATCAAAAACTTTGAGCTTCAAAATTATCCATTGATAAAAATGTATACATTTTTATATCACAAACATTAGTAATAACTTGTTTGTATCATTATCTGCCAGATACTACTTATGATTCATTTTCCTGTTAAGTGGAATTATTTTTGTTATGTTTGATATTCATTGACTACCGAACTATTATTGCGTAACATGCTTAAATTAACTAATGCCAGGTCCAATTTTGAACTAAAAAAAACATGTGTACAGTTCACATGCTGTAGTAGTGAAACCTTCAGAAAAGGAAACAGAGATAATAGGAAACACTATTGTATCTAACACACTCATTCACTAATTTGTCTCCTTTTGGTGTTGCTTTTTCATTAGATCGAGATTCAAATCTAAAGGAGATTTTACTTTAAAAAAATATTACGACCTTGATTATTTTGATTAGTATAGAATAGAATAATTATTATTCAATACAGATTAAAATAATATTTATTGAATGTCATTTATGCTTTTACTATTGGTTCGAAAAAACCTGTCTTCGGAAGAATGAGTGACATATTAAAAAAAAGAGTATCTTAAAAAACTTATAAAATGATATGCTGTAGAATTATATACAAGAACAATAGAAACAACATTTCAGCAATCACATCATTCTAGGGGTTATTATCAATCATGTGTTACAGGTTGTTGAAGACAAGTTTAATAGAGAGAAAGATTAAGAACACTTACGTATGGGATGCAACAATTCATCACTGGCATCGTCTGAGCGGTGTAGTTTAAGGATAGCAGTCAGCCAAGTATGAAGGTCCTGCTCATTCTCTGCAACAATACACAGTTGCTCCTCTTTTGTAAACAGAGCAATTACATGCTTCTGTTTTAGATCCAATCTTCTCATTATGTTATAGCAGCTCTTCAAAGGAAGAACTCGGCGTGGTACAGCTCCAGACCGGAACTTCTTCTCCGACTCATAATACTCTAAGCGAGCGGAACAGTCTGCAGCTTCAGCTCGTAGCACAAAATATTTCTTTTTCATGGTCTTCAATTTCCGAAGGTGGCCCTGGCGCACCACGGCGCCTCCGCCTGATATCGCAGCCATGTCAATGTGTCCGCATCCCAGCTTAAAGACTCAGACACACGACAACCGCTTAACCTTGAAGTTGTTTACGTGACGAAAGTCAAACGAATTCTAGTCTTCACCGTCGAAGCGACTAAAAATACGTACTATCTCTTTTCAATAGCGCGTAAATAGTAAAGCGCTCGGTAATAAATCGAATGGCGTAGCAAATCCGCGTCCGGCGTAGTCCGATAGGCGCCATATGACCGCTTACGCTTATACTCTCTGCCGCGCCACTATGATTCTCTGACGAGATAACAACACTTGCGTCGCTTTGAAAATATCAAAATACATCAACAACAAACACTTTTCAATCCATAATTCTGTACGCTCGCTATTACACTCGGTCATTCACAGACACTTCAGTTTAGAAAGAGATAAAATCATTCGTAGTAAACGTAATCTGCACGCCCTTCCGTAGGAACGCAGGGCATGGAAGTCACGCCGTCGTCATGCCTGTGTAGTATCAAAACAATATATTTTTTGTCATAACAAATATATAGACTAATTTCACTACCACAAGAATTACAAGAATCAAATTACACGATAAAATTTCTATGTTTTGCACTTGATTTATAAAAACTCATGTATTTGCGCGTCGTTTTTTATTGGTTCCTCGCTATTGCGTGTCATTTATTCGAGCGAAGATTACGAGAAAATAATACTACTACACAGTTCGGATTCACGTACACAAAACATTGCTAATATTATGCCAATGCCAAGACCCAAGAGAAGAGAATGTAAGAATAACCAGTGTTACCATGCGATTGCGTTCAGTGAGTGAGATTACAGAGTATATGTATGACTTTTGGTTGCTGTTGCATGAAAAGGAAAGTAAATGAGACAAAAATCTGTTATAAATATTTTTGTGTGATTCGAAAGTACCCGTCACAATTTAATAATATATCATAAAATTCTTTACAACCAGTTTTTCCATTATAATTCAACCTAATACATTATTACCTACTCCTTAAAAGCTAGACCGATTTTGATAACATTTTGTGTGTGTGATTAACTTGTGTCGATAATGGTTTAGATTTACAATCAGACCAGGTAGGTGGTGCTGTTGTCGAGATCCAGAAATCAGTCATCAGTTGTAAATACCAAAAAAAATGTTAGTTAAAAAGATAAAGTTCAAAGAAAACTTTCATATTATGGTTAATAGCCAAGTCATAAAAATATTGTATACACAATATACGATTTTATGTACATATGATATTTATGATGACCGTGCTTTGTGGCATTGCTTGAGGGAGGCCCATGTTCAACAGTGGACTTGTGAAGGGCTGTAATGATGATGATGATGATGATGATGATATTTATCCTTAATTTTTTTTTGCTGACATCAGTTTGTTCGTTTTTTTTTTGACAAGAGATTTAATGTATTAACGCACTATCATTTCACGTTATGGTAAGCCCTATACACCAAGAACAACTGCAACCAGGTTTTATCAAAGAAGGATAATAATTTCCTCCGGACCGAATTTCGGTCACGGCGACATGCCTCAACGGAGACTAGCCATCCGCACAGGACAGAATTATAGTGCTCAAGTGTATGCAAAAGCACAGGTGCACTCTCTATTCCCTCACTCTCGTATTCCGATGGGACTATAAACCGTCACATTCGGTTGTGACGGTTTATAGGTTGATGACGGAGATGATTAGGCGTAGGACCAACGGCTTTAAGTGCTTTCTAAAGCAGGGGTTGAGACACCGTCAACGTCCTTTCCAACTTTTGACTTGGGGCAGGTACTGAAATTTCTGATGGAAAAACTCAATAACTGATTTTTTGGCCCAAGCTGGGATTAGAACCTAGGACTTCAAGATCAGTAATTGCACTACTACGATCACTAGACCAACGAGCCAGTCAACACAATATCTACAACAAAGGAAGGTACGAATCTATTGGCGCCTCTTACGACTAGAATGGCATGGCCTTCAAAATAAAATGTAAAAATAAAGTGTAAAAGGTTATCTGTACTTCAAAAGAACAAAGCAATATATGAACCGCTGCTTAGTATTAGAAGTAGGTAAAACCTAATTCATTTTATTATTACAATGAGGTTCAATTCTATATTAAAAATTCATAATACAATAGTGTCCGATTACATTGTATTAAATTTTGATACTTGATTATAGCTAACTCAATGAGGGCTGATATTCTTCCGCTCTCCAGATGTCGCCAGTTGACACTGAGGTAAATTTTTTTTTTGGTACAAAATGTCTTGTTAATGATTTAATTGAGAAGTTAGTTTAAAATAAAAGTTTGTCAGTTTCTATAGTATTATATTAATTAATGCACAAAACAATCATAATTTTTTTTCACATTTTTACTATTCTAATTTCTTCTTTTGTTGTATTTTTTTATTCTTCTACTTATATGAATATCTGTTGTTAGGTTTATTTATTTTTAATCTAATTTATAATAAATACTAGCCATCTGCCCCGGCTTCGCACGGGTGATATCTGTATGATATATTCAACAAAAGCGCCACCTACCGGGTCCAACTATGCTTAAAATATTCGCGGAAGTGCGAGCAATATTTTGAAAAAGTTTTACCGCAATCTAATGAACGGTATAGCAGCGCTAAAATACAACTAATAAAAATTTATGTTTATATATTAGATAATTTAAACGACCAATTCTTGTATATATACAACATGTAACAAAAACCCTGTGGTTCCCGTTAAGTGTGTTATCAGAATCAGTATCCAAGCGTATAGAAATGTTTTTATTCCAAAAAACCCATTTAAAAAAAAATTAATTTTAATGAAAAAAAAAAATAATTTGCTAATTGTATGTGGTTTTATTTCCTCTAACTCTCACTAGTATCGGTAATGCGGGGTCTTTGACAATCCTCTTACTCCTCGGCCAATGCAGAGATTATAGAATCACATACAATTTGCAAATTAGTTTTTTTTTCATTAAAATAATTTTTTTAATGTGTTTTTTTTTCGAAAAAATTATTTCTATATGCTTGGATACTGATTCTGATAACGCAGTTAACGGAAACCACAGGGTTTTTGTTACATGTTGTATATATATAATCGGAATCTCGGAAACGGCTCCAACGATTTTCATAAAATTTAGTGTCCAGGTTAGAAAATGTTTTTTTGTCGGTGTTTTCAGGCAATGAAAAACTGCTACAATATAAGAAGGTAAATTTTGACACTTTGTTAATGATCGTAATAGCTCAAGTGGATAGCGAGCGGTCGCGAAATCGTAATGCTTTAGTTGGCGTCCTGTCTTCGGTCCGACTTTTTTCCTTTTTTTTTCAAGTTCCCTTCTTTTGTGAGAAAATCTATTATTTCGAGCCCTTTTTTTAGTATTTTTTAAAAATAAGAAAATTTTAATTAAACTGATTGCACTCATGATTTTTTATTCAAATAACCAGTTCAGTTTTTTCTATTATGTCAATAAGATCAAAAAATATTATTCATCAGTATGTAATTTGTATCTAAATGCACTTCAACATTTCAAAAAAAAAACCGAGCAAATTTCGATTACCCGGGTACATAAATAACTAATTGTAACAGTATAAAAAAAACTTTAACCTTTACAACCGAACATATTAATTTCCCCGCCATGATTACATCTTATCTTTAGGAGCCACTTTGGTGGTTATACTCTTTGCTGGTGGCAGAAAAAGGCGTGGATGTACTCATTAAATAAAATAATTTCTCTATGGATACAAATAATTTTTGCGGACACTGTAGAAATTTCTAATTATGAATTATAAAAATAAACTTCTTCCGTATTAATTTTAAAAGTTTATAAAAATTAGGGTTGGGGTATAAGCTAAAATCGATTTCAATATAAAATCCCATGTGAAATATGTGAAACAAAATGTAAAGGGAATTTGACAGCAAAAAATAAAAAAAAAATAATGCACTGCAGCTAAAGGACTTCTTTTGTAAATAATAATCTTCTTTAAATCGAAGACTATTATAATAGTTATTAGTCTAGTATTACTCATTGACTTATATATTACTGGCGTAAGGACCGGGCCGATCGAACAACTAAAACGGACCAGTGCGCTGGCCCTAAAATTACAGTTTAGGGCCAACGCGAATCGGTCGACAGTAGTGCGCGTGCAGGACAGATTTGCCTGTCATAACTGTCTAGTTGCGTGATAAAAGAATGCGAAAATTACGAAACAAAGATTTAAAATAAGACATGGGATATCGTATCATCGGTAAATAACCTCATAATAATTTTGTTACAATTAAATTATTATTATATAAACGCATTTTTAAAGTTTTATTTTACAGTTAGTTTAGGTAGTTACGTTACCAAGATTAGGCCAGGGCTGGATTCAGACCCTCAAAAATATTGTACATGAAAATTAAAATTATACTTTTTTTAAAAATATCACGTTTGACGTTTCATGTTTCTTTTTCCCATATGCCGGGATTTTGGTGTCACGCGTCTAATTTATCTATACGTTTCGTTTTTGACGGTTTATTTTTATTTCTGTTTAATTTTTGTCTCAAGAACTTAGTGTAGGTAAGTTAAATTTTGAATATTGGTACCTAATATATTTTATATTCAATTAGGGTAAAACGAAAAGAGTACAAAAGAAACCATATCTACTTAATTGAATCTGAAAATCTGATTCATAAAATATTTTTAAATTTAAATATAAATGAATATTTTTCAAACTGATTGCTTCTGGAGCATAGAGTTTTTATCTTGGTAGCCCCTCATAGTAGTTGTATCAAGGATGCAACATAAATGCATTGATCGAGCATCGATTGACCAGAAAGGGGGCTAATTCTAATTTTATTAAAAAAAACGCGGTACTCATGTACAATACAAAAATTCTCGATATCGTAGGGTTAATATTGAAATTTAAAAGGACCCAATAATAATACAAGTTAACCTTTAGGTAAAATTATGGTATTTTCCCTTTGTATTATTACGATACTATGTACTACAAACTATGAAATAATGATACAATTGGGATAAATATACTACGAAA